GCTTTGGTTACTGTGACCCTGTCACTGTGGCCCACGCCACCTGCACCTGGTGCATACCTCTGCCAGGTATACGTTTCCAATGCGCTCCAGAAAGGACACCCAAAGCACTCAGCAGAACTGGCAGACATGACTTATAGTATGGTAGGGCAGGCGGGGTAGAAGCATGGGAACTGGCACTCGACGAACCTGAAAGGCACGCACCTGATACCACTCATCATGAAGCCCTTTACGGCTTACACCATCTGACCAAGAGTCAGCTGACTGCCACTGCTCAATGGATGAACTAGCCGTGCTGTCTGACTCTGGGCTGTTGCTGCATCCCCAGGACGTTGTCAACAAACCACCGTCCCTGACAGGAACGAGCCTGGCTGGCTACAAAAATGAATCCCACGTACACGATCAAGAGCTCCAACTGGGCTATTTTGGTGGGGTGGCTTGACCACAAGTACAAGAGCCTGGGTTCAATGTCAACTACATAGGCATCACATTCATCCTGAAGGCCAATTGCAGCAATCCGGGCGAGCCTTGCCAGGGCTCATCCTGGGCAGCGTCCAAAGCGTAGTTGGCGGAATGGTTGAAGTGGAGGTTCACGCTGAGGTCAAAGAAAAAGACGCAAGCAGACCATCTCAAACGAACACAGCAAGTCATCTGTGAGTTGAACATCATGGGAGTACTGTCGCTCCCTCAACAGATTGCGACCTGCTCTGCAATTTGCCAAAACAGGATTGAGGAAGCCCCAGACGGCCAAAGAGCTTGGCTGCAAGTCCCAGTGGTAGCCAACCAGCATGGGTGGCTTCATCCATCAAATCATTGACAACCACAAGATCAGCTTGCGCAGGGATCATAGGAACATGGAGGTAGGCATTGGGCAAGACTTCCGCAGCAGAGCGATGCCATCTGTTCAAAGGGACGAAGCGTCAGGTCCAGCTTGTGACTCAACTCACTCTGGCCGCCATTGGCCACATCATCAATCACTCGCAGCTTGCCACTGGGCTGCTGGAGGCAGGACCGCCTGATCAGGCGGAAGCGAGGGACCTGCTCACAGAGTTGCGCCCAAGAAAGCGCAGAGTTAGCAAGTTGCAAACTGGTCAGCCTCGACGACGGCTCGACAACGGCTTCGTCGTGGGCGCAGGAGCGGAGTGCCCAGACTATACGGTCTGCATCAGCCCATGCCTCACGTAGAACAGTGGACGCTGCGATGTAGTCAGCAGGCTGAGGCTTGGAGAGGGGCACGTGCGGAGAAAGCCCACTGGTGGGAACCCAAAGATCAGCCATTCCATAAAATCCGGCCATCCAATGAAGAGCATCAAGAGTCTAATAAAAGCAACGCGGCGTCCTTTCATAGCAGAGAAAGGCCCTGGGGCTTGGAAGGCGGTGAGCCATCCAGCGATTGGCCCGGAGAAACCGGGCCGGCTCCCCAGCGCTCCATGCGTTGACAGGCCGGCCTCAGAGAAGAACCCAAACGTTGGCACGGAGCCACTGTGAAGTTGAGGTCCTCATCAACAAGGCGCTTGCTGACGTTCATGGAGTGAGATAGTGGCTCATTCCGCAGGCCCAACAAGAGCCAGCCACACACCTGGCCATGCCATCCCTCATTGTTCTGCATGTATATAATTCAACCGAAGGCAGAATCAGCCACAAGGAGATCCTCAGGCATAGGTCACTGGAATCCCTGCCAATGAACGTGAGGACACAGCGCCATCAGAGCAGCAACCACCGTCTCCTGGGAGAAGCACTCAGGCGTGGTCCGGGCAGGGCGAAGGCCGGCAGCCAACAATGCCACGTTGCGGGTGGCCTGGCGTTGACGACGCCGAGGGATAGGAGGTTGTAGTCCAAATCAACACACAAAGGACATCCCATGACACAACATATTGCGTGGGCAATTTAACCAAGGCAAAACCATGAAGGGAGGCGAGGGCCTCAAGCAAGTGATCTTGGCCATGGATCCACCGGGCATACTGCAAGACAATGTCGGAGGTGGTACAACCCTCCCCTGCTTTGAAAGGGTTTTGCCGTGAGATAAGTGACCGTGTCCAATGTACACTTCATGGGGCTGTAGCTGCTTGCGACGGGGGTGACGACCACCCGCTGGCACCAAAGGAAGGCCCCCTTTTCAGGCCTTGCTGGGGCACTTGGCAGGCACATGCTGCCATGATCCACAAGCACAACCAGGCTTCAAGACGACTGCAGAACGATGAACTCCCTTCGGGCAGTCGGTGTTCTTGTTCTTGCAGCGCCGGGCAGTCCCATCACATAAGCCGTGGACAATGGAACCCGCACGTCCTGCAGGCTCGGACGGCTGAGACCCAGCCGCCTGCAAAGGACCTGGAGAGACACCACCGCCTCCGACCACCGGCCGAGGCAGGGCCCCATCGATATAGAGCGCGTCACGCTTGATGGACTGCATCCATGCAGTCACAGTGAGGTGCCGGCAGCAGCTCGTCGAGGTGCAGATTTCATGGCAGGCACAGCACTTTGTGAACCTCCATGTGCAGATTTCGTGGCAGGCACAGCATCTGCGGAGCTGGAAGCTGAGAACTGGCGACTTTGTAGCACAACTTTAGTACGCGGAGTATCTGGGAACCTGGAAGATGAGAACTGGCGATTTTCCAGTGCAACTTTAGTACGCGGAGCAATCTGTGGAGCTGGAAGCTGAGAACTGGCGACTT